CTACCCCATATATGCATAGAAAAAAGGTCCAACAAAGGACCTTGTCCAAAATAGCAGATGAAATTCAATACTGGTAAATGCAAAGTAATGCACACTGGAAAATATAGTCTTTACAGACAAAATGATTGGGTCTAAATTAGCCGTTATCACTCAAGAAAAAGATCTAGTCAAAAAGGCTAACAGAATATTAGGAACCATTAGGAAAGGAATAGATAATAAGTCAGAAAATATCATAATGCCACTATATAAATCCATGGTAGACTCATACCTGAATATTGCATGTAGTTCTGGTTGCCCCATCTCAAAAAAGATACATTAGAATTGGAAAAGGTACAGAGAAGGGCAACAAATATGATTAAGTGTATGAAACAGCTTCTATATAAGGAGAGATAAAAAAGACTGGGACTGTTCAGTTTAGAAAAGAGACGACTAAAGGGGATATGATATAAGTCTATAAAATCATTAATGGTATGGAGGAAGTGAATAGGAAAGTGTTATTTACCCCTTCACATAACACAAGACTCTGGTATCACCCAATGAAATTAATAAGCAACAATTTTAAAACTATCAAAAGGAAGTACTTCTTCACACAACACATAGTTAATCTGTGGAACTCGTTGCCAGGGGATGTTGTGAAGGCCAAAAGTATAACTGGGTTAAAAAAAGAATTAGATAAGTTCATGGAGGATAGGTCCATCATTGGCTATTAGCCAAGATAGTCAGGGATGCAACCCGAGTGTCCCAAACATCTGACTGCCAAGGGGCTGGGATGGGACAACAGGGGATGGATCACTTGATAATTACTCTGTTCTGTTCATTCCCTCTGAAGCATCTGGAACCAAGCAATGTTGGAAGACAGAATGCTGGGCTTGATGGACCATTGGTCTGACCCAGTATGGCCATTCTTATGTTATTATGGATATAAGAGTTCATTCTGCCCCATTCAACCCGAACAATGTGCCTCAACCCTAGCCTGAAGAGACCTATGATACAAAAAAAATTCAGTTTCCAGGCCTACATATTCCCTGCCTTCTCTGCTGAGTGGGTTATAAATGGTACCAATTAGAGTAATTTGAACACGTATCCACTAGAAAGAGAATTGAGATCACCAAATTCATTTCACATAGGACACCAAACAGCCTTCAGATGGTAAAAGCTCTCTCACAACTGAGCTGGGCAGGATTTAAGCCACTGATTTGGAGAGCGGTATTTTTGATGGTAGAGGTGTGATTTTCCACCTCCCTTGCCCAAGATTTTAGGGAAAGATGATGAGAAACAAGCCACTGAATTCTTTAAATGCCTGCTCCACAAGTGGAATTGGGGAAAAAGTTGCATGAATTTTTTACTCAAGAATTATTATAGAGGAGATAGATGGAGGAAAGGAGACGTGTGTGGAAATGATGGTGTGAAGCCTAATAAATAAAAATGTGGTGCTGCTCCCCAGCGTAAAGGACTCATGTTGGGAGGAACTCCATTGTAGAGAAAAAGTGTGTTTATCCCTAGTGCAGAGAATTTATTAAATAGATAATTGTTTCCTCAGATGATAAGAAACTTGTAAGTGACCAGACTGATTGTTTGATGCTCTTTACTTCTTCACCTAAATAATTTAGGATTAGGGCTGTATTTTACCTCCATGTTGCTACTTGCAGTATCTCCTGGTATAGCTTCAGTGCTAGAAAGTGATGTGTCTGGGTCTTGCTATTTCCAGTCATTTAAAGTCTCTTTGTATAGTTTCACTGGAGCTGCCATATACCGTTGTATGTGTTCTATGTTGTTATTCTGAAAGAGCCTGATCGAAAGCCTATTGAAATCAATGGAAAGACTTCCAATGATTTCAGTTGGTTTTGGGTCAGGCCCAAAGTGAGTGAATACCCTTGAACCTTGTTAAGGCCTGATCCTGCAGTCCTAACTCAGGCAGAGCTCCCACTAATTAAATTAGGAACACCGAGCCAGTTTCTCAGCTAGTATAAATCAGCATAGCTCTACTGAAGATAAATGGAATTATGCCTATTGGCACCATCTGAGAAACTGTCCCCACTGGGCTTTTTGCTTAAGCAAGGGCTGCAGGATCAGTTCCCTTTTTTGTATACTTCAGGGGAAATGTAAGACATGACAATTAAGTGATGCTCCCAGATTTCACAGGCAAGGGACACTGGAAATTTGTTGAAAATTTCAGGGAATTTCTCCACTGGTTGGCAGAGCTGTTCCAAGCAAGTTTTGTATTTTTTCAGAAATGTTAGCAAAGTAGAGGGGATATACCAGATACACAGAACAGCAGTAAAGGTGCTTTCCATCCCACATTCCTGGTACATTTGTTAGCAAGGATGACTGGAGTTAAACCTTCAAAAATTATAATATATACCATGACATAAAAGGTTCAGTGAGAGCCTGTTTCTCCTCTACCCCACTGTCAGAATCTAATATATAAAAAAAGTAAGGGCCTAGTTCACTTCTGCATTACCTAGGGCTGATCTACACTGGGACCTTACATCAGCATAGTTATGTCTCTCAGGGGCATGAAAAACCCACATCCCTGACAAACGTAGTTATATGACCTAATCCCCCTGTGTTTACAGTGCTAAATCGATGGAAGAATTCTTCAGTCCACTTAGTTACCTCCTCTTGGAGAGGTGGATTACCTATGCCAGAGGTAGCATCTATACTGAAGCACTGCAGCTGCTTTTTTGTAGTGTTTCAAGTGTAGACATACCTTTACACCAGCATAAACCTGGAGTAATGGAGTAAAGCAATAGTGAATCAGGCCCAGTATCTCTAGCCCTTCTGGTTATGAAGATAATCTTGCAGTGTGCTTAGAGGGAAAATCAAGTCCGCAATCAGCCTGAAACAATACCTCAGAGACATGTGAATTCATACCAATGAGGTGTTAACTCTGAATCATAATGATGACAACTGAAAAGTCAATATTGTTAACTAGTCCACTACTGATGAAAGCAGACAAGAAAGAGAGGTGAGGACTCACTTTGGCATCTAAGTGGATAGTCATAGGTTTGTGGGCAATCTTGGAAGAAGTTTTTTTTTCAGGCAGAGCTCTGGATGTAGTTAAGAAAAATTAGTTGTGTCTGGACACAGTGCAGCACTGCCTCTCACTGAGTGACAAGGAGGCACTATATTTAGCTGCATGGCAGCCTATCAAAGAAACCCAGTAATATAAGTGCATTTGCAAGTGGAGGGTCAGGGCTCCTGCCCCTTACACTCAGAGGCAGGAGGTTCTAGGGCTATTGCTCTGTAACTGAATTTTTTAACAAGGTAATGTGGTTTCCTTATAAAAAAGTGGGACTCAACTGTGGTGGGCTCAGCCACAATTCTGTAATAATGTGCTCCATGCTTACCCCTCCCTCTCCTTTCCCCACCTCCTTTTTCTTGCTTCTTTCATGCCTCTGACGTTTCATAAGCTCTCTCCTTAAATTAAACAAGGTTTGGAATGTAAATATCCAAGGCTGCAATCTGGCACAAATTGAATATATTGCACAGAGCCGGCCATTCTTTCGAACAGGTCATGTAAAAAATAGAATCCCTCCAATGCTGGTCCTGATATGCTCTCATAATAAAGAGCACAGCTCTGCCCACTCTTCTGAAGCTTTTTCTAGTCATGCAGTGTGACCTAGGTTATCCAAGTCACTTTCTCTCCATTCTTTTTGTTCCTCAGCCCTTTGCTACTTCTCCTACTCTTCCTCGTGCTAGACACTACCTTAGTAATAATAGTTAATTAAGTTACTCATGCTGACTATTCCCTTCTGGTCTCCTGGTCCTTGATCTCCTCCAACTCTTCTGAGCTCCTTTTCTGATATTATATTCTAAGTTTCTAGGCTGGGATTGTCAAAAGACCCTAATGGAGTGAGGTCCCCAAATCCCACAAATATTCAATGGGGGTTGAGCACCTAACTTCCTCTGGTTCTTTTGAAAATCCTGGCTCTAATTTCCAATTGTTCATACCATTCTGAGAGTTGAGATTCTTTTGTTGTTTAGTGGTTACCATTAAAAAGTCACCACCACATCAAGGTATCTAGCTAGCTTGCTAAATTCTTATACGGCACACACCACTACAAAATCTGACCCTCTCCCAGATATCGACTACTGGAAGACAGCAATCCTCAAGTGGATCTAGATTTCTCCCTCTTCTTTGCAAGGTTCGGGGCAGGGGTGTTTCTCCTCTTCCCCTTTCTATGGTCTCTTTCATTGTGAATGCTGTGGTTGTGGGAAGCTTAGGTTAAAGAAGTTCATCTTGCACTTCATTCTGAAGGCAGCGGAGTCATGTTCATTCTCACCTGAAGCAGGGAGTTTCAGAGTTCGAGCCAGTTGTCAAGAAAACACTGTTCCCTGACTTCATGAGTTTGACCTTTGGGATTGACACTTTCATTTTTTCTGTTAAATGTAGCACAGCTGGAGCCTGATCCAACAACCACTGATGAGATGAGGAGTCTTTTCATGGACTTCATTGGGTTTTAGATTAGGCCTTTATTTCCTATTTTCAGTATAGGAGAATACTGACGTTTATCAGATGCCATGATGCAGTAAATGTTAGCTTTTTAATGGTAACCCTTGTAGTTCAATCCTTAGTCTGATCCAAATCTACAAATTCTGTCATACATAGTGTGTAGTATCTAGAATAGTTACTGTACATAACACAGTACATTAGATATGACTATAAATCATAATTAGCAAGATATTGTAAAATGGACAGAAATTGTCAGAAAAGAAAAGTTAATAGCGATCTTTTCACCTATAGAAATCTGTCTCTTTTTTATTTGGTTTTATAACATGTGTAGTATAGTGCCTTATTTGTTCTGAAACTGTTTACAGAGTCAACAGACGTATAGCCAGCATACTGAGCCGCTAAAATAGTTCACAAATTAAAACAGATCTTTCCAGAAGTATTGACTGCTTTTCTAACAAGATTTTATTACTTATTTTTAAACACATTTTTAACATAGACAGAGTATGTTACAAAACTATTATTTTTCCCCATAGGTGCAGTAATTATGCCATATACAGATAAGCAAATATGCATCCCTCCAGAACTGCCAGAACTGCTGAAACAGTTTACAAAGTCTGCTATTCGAACCCAGCCTCCAGATCTGCTCCAATGGGCGTCTGAGTATGTTCATTTTTTCCTAACACTTAAAAAAATCAAACCCTAGTTATAAAAGATTTATGCCTGCCACCATGGAAAAGTTAATCACTTCACTGGATCTACCCACTGAAGTCAACTTCAGTGGATGTATTCATTGGAGCTACACTGATTTACACCAGCTGAAGATCTGATCGTTGGTGCACAATAGCTTTTGAGATCTACTGAGCATCTGGCAACACTGTGAAGTCAATGTGATTTGCAGGTCCTCATTTCCTCTCCAGATTTGGCTTGTATTGTGCTCCAAAGTTAATATTTGTGAGAGACCCACACTTACCTTCTCTTTGTCCCCACTACGGCTGGATATCTGGTATTTTAAATGTCTCTACAGCTGGCACACTATTAATTTAATCTAGTCAAAGGTTGAGATGTTGGTGATCATTGTATGTTCCCAGATGTACAGTTGCCACTTTGAATTGAGACTGTTTAAAATGAAATTCCTCTGAAGAGTGAGCTCCCAGCTAAATGCAGCACTTTAATAAATTATGGACCTTTTAGAAACACTGGTCTATAACACTCAAAACTCTTCAGCATCCAGGGGCAATGAGAGTAAGGCGTATATCACAAGTGCATACATCTATGGTGCTAGTTCATTTTTTAAAAATGGGTTCTATGCTAATCTGGTATAAATCAGCATACCTCCATTTAAATCGATGTATCTATACTGATTTGCACCATGTCAGGATATGGCCTCATATCTTTGCAATCCATCCTCCCTTTTCTTTAGCATGGAACAACTCTCCAGTGACCACTAAATTAGTGGGTGGCCTGATTGGACGTGCCCCCAGAACAGCAGAAAGGATAAATTGTTAGTAAATCCAATAGATTACAAGGTGGGGGGTTTTTGGTTTCATTGTTTTGTTTTTAAACAGGAATGTTCAGCACTGCAGCAATCCCAAACTATGTGTTAAATTTTATTTTCCTTTTTCAAGTTTAAATGCTGTGGGGACTGAAATACTCCACTAGGAGTTTTTCCCAGGGTAATTCAGTGCATCGAGTGGCACAAGTGTTTAAATCAATTTGACATGTAATTTGTCTAATGAACATGCCTATCCTGAAATGTCAACTCCCTCAGCTGATATTGACATATGTGGATGATAGGTTAAAGCAGGGGTAGGCAACCTATGGTACACATGCTAAAGGTGGCACGCGAGCTGATTTTCAGTGGCACTCACAGTGCCCGGGTCCTGGCCACTGGTCCGGGGGGCTCTGCATTTTAATTTAATTTTAAATGAAGCTTCTTAGACATTTTAAAAACCTTATTTACTTTACATATTACTAAACTATTGTTGTGTAACCCCTTTGGGGTTTAGAGAGCATGGCCCTTTAAATCTTTTTCCTAAGGGGGAGGGGGAGAGTGAGAAAAAAGGAGGGAAACTCCAGGGGGCAGCGCTGGAGCTCCGAGGAGAGGGAGAGGCAGCTTGCAGGCCCTGAAAAAGGGAAGCAGCAGAGAACCTGCCCGAGGCCTGAGACGGACAGGGCCGATCGGGGACACCCCAGGACAGGAGCCAGGAGGAGCACTGTGCCAGGGAGGAATTGCCGAGAAGGACAGGCCGGAGCTGGACGCAGTATCACTGCTGCCCAGAGCTGCATGGGGCTGTGAGTACTGGGGCTTCTGACTCTGCATTGGGAACAAGGAGGGAGGCTGTAGCTAGTTAAGTGGGGAGGTGGTCGCTCTGTGTGGCTTTGCAGAGAGCGGCAGAAGAGGGCACCGGAGGGGTTTGTTGGGGGAAAGTTCACTGGCGCCGAAGACGACCAGGAGCACCCAAGACTCACCACTGGACTGGAACTTTGCTCAGGACTCGTGAACTCTGTGTGCAGACACATTGCTCAGTGTCTGCCCTTCCAGACTCTGCTACCACGGGGGGGCCTGTGGGGCCTTGGTTTTAATGCAGCCCTGTTTTACTGCTCCCCCTATATTTCCCCTTGTTGTTTTTCTCCTCTCATCCTCTGTAAATAAATATTTCCCTTGTTATATCCACTGTACTTTTCCTGTGGGGGTGTGTGTTCGTTCACTCTGGGGGGTTTGGAACAGGTGCCCCTGGGGTGGAAGGGATTTCTCCTGCTGCATTCCTGCGCACGCCATCTCTTGGCCAGAGCTGCCTGCAGAGCAGACTCCATCTTGGCCACGAGGGCGCTAAAGTTACACTTGGTGGCCCATACGGGGACTTTGCAGTACACACACACCCCCACAGGAAAAGTACAGTGGATACAACAAGGGAGACATTTATTTACAGAGGATGAGAGGAGAAAAACAACAAGGGGAAATATAGGGGGAGCAGTAAAACAGGGCTGCATTCAAACCAAGGCCCCACAGGCCCAGTGGTAGCGCAGTCTGGAAGGGCAGACACTGAGCAATGTGTCTGCACACAGAGTTCAGGAGTCCTGAGCAAAGTTCCAGTCCAGGGGTGAGTCTTGGGTGCTCCTGGTCGTCTTCGGCGCCAGTGAACTTTCCCCCAACAAACCCCTCCGGTGCCCTCTTCTGCCGCTCTCTGCAAAGCCAGACAGAGCGACCACCTCCCCACTTAACTACCTAGCAACCTCCCTCCTTGTTCCCAATGCAGAGTCAGAAGCCCCAGTACTCACAGCTCCATGCAGCTCTGGGCAGCAGTGATACTGGGTCCAGCTCCGGCCTGTCCTTCTCGGCAATTCCTCCCTGGCACAGTGCTCCTCCTGGCTCCTGTCCTGGGGTGTCCCCGATCGGCCCTGTCCGTCTCAGGCCTCGGGCAGGTTCTCTGCTGCTTCCCTTTTCCAGGGCCTGCAGGCTGCCTTCCCCTCTCCTTGGAGCTCCAGCGCTGCCCCCTGGAGTTTCCCTCTTTTTTTCTCACTCTCCCCCTCCCCCTTAGGAAAAAGATTTAAAGGGCCATGCTCTCTAAACCCCAAAGGGGTTACAGTTGTATATTATAGATTTATAGAAAGAGACCTTCTAAAAATGTTAAAATGTTTTACTGGCACGCGAAACCTTAAATTAGAGTGAATAAATGAAGACTCGGCACACCACTTCTGAAAGGTTGCCGACCCCTGGGTTAAAGAGTTAACTTTATCTAAGTAAAAAAAGAAGCTAATTACACTTGATAAATAGACTGAACCATAAGATGTTATTTCTTTATTTTTAAAATAATATTCCTGTTGTCTTTCACCTCGCTCAGTATAAGTTTAATGTATTATAGCAGGGGTGCCTAGCCTACCGCCCACGGGCCGTACATAGTCCAGCAGAAGGCCCACGGCCTACTTCAACACAATATACTAATGGCCAATTCGTTTACATTTTGTCGTTATGTTTGCATTGTTTTAGTTTACACAAGTGTGTAAATAGGTTGTTTCCATGAACAGTATCGTCTATCTAAATACATACAAAACAAGATGAAATTAAAATATAAATCAATACTGGTCACTTTAAATCTTATTAATATACGTAGGTTGTGCTTAGGCTTATGTGACCCACCTGTGTAATAAGGTTGGGTTCCACTGTATTATAGCTAAAGCTGGTCTGTATTGTTTCCAGAATACTAGTTTCCTTTGGCGCAACAATAAAGCACTTTGAATGTAGTGCTGTTCATTATTAAAGAGAAAAAGATTTATACTGGATGACCATTAATATTTTATTAGGAGGAAAGTTCTCTTTTATTGTAACATATTTGCTTCTATTTGATAATATCACAGACTTGTCCTAAAATTTGTGAGAAAATGTATGGTTTCTTTAAAAGATGATTTTCATTTAACGACCCTAATTCAGGAAAGCACTCTTATTCATGAAGTGCTCTTAAGTATATGCTAACATACTTTCCTGAATAGGAATGGAATTACGCTTGTGCTTTAATGCTTTCCTGAATCAGGGCCAAAAATTTGATGTCCAAAGAAAAGAGCACTATGGGCTGAATAAAAAGACCATTGAAGTCAATGGAAAAACTCCACTGACTACAACGGGAGATGATTCAGGCCTTAAAAATACCATTTATGTGCAGGAATGAAAGGAAAGTTGTTTGATAGCACAGTACTTTCCTGATTAAAAGCAGTGCTACTTAAACAGAAGCCGCTGCATCAGATAGTTGAAATGCAATTGTCTTCTATTTAGTAAGCATAAATCATATGAACCATTATGTTTAATATCTGCTTCTGTTAAAAGCATTTAGAAAGCAAGCATCTATCTGTCTTTCTCCATCTAGTTACTTTAGTGCCGTGGCCCGTGGTGATACACCTCCAGTAAGAGAGCGATCGGAAAGGGTACCTTTGTCAAACTGGGCAGAACTCACTCCAGAGCTCTTAAAGGTCTTACACCAACGAGTAAGAAACATCTCATTTACTTTCTAGGGCAAATATATAGAGACAGAACATTTACATCCATATGCTATTTTGCTTCCTTAATGTTACTGATACTACATTTTCAGGCTGAGAAAATGTATTTGCTTTCAATGTTATGTCCGCAAATACTCTTGTCAATGAATGCAAGTAAAATGTGTATGGCGAATACTAATATATTAGCTGGTATCTTTGAAAAAAAATCACAGGTTTCTACCAATGAAGAACTGAGCAATAAGACCTTTAAAAATGTGACTCCTTGGCTAGATGCAACAGTATAAAATAGAATTTTCCTTGAATTGTACTCCCTTTGGTCCTGATTGGGCAACCTTTCTTCAATTTGGTGAACACTTACTCACACAAGTAATGCCACGGTACGCAATGGGATTATTTGCATAAGTATTCATCAACACTAAAGGTTGCGCATTCAGGCTATATGTTCGTAAAATTGAAGTCCTGCAAGATGTAACAGAAATAATTTATTTCCTTAACTCACGCTGTTAATTATATCGAAATTTACAGTCTGGAATCATAACTGTCCTAAGTCTTCATTTCTATTTTCTATATGGATCAAATCTACAATGAGCTTTCTTAACCCTGCCTGCAAAACGTATGTGTCAGACATCCAGTTGCTCCTAAAGGCTGACATCATCAGCTCTTCCCATAAATCCAATTCAAAGTCAGCCCAGACCATTTCAAAAGCAAAAGTCTAGTAAAGTGTCCCAGCTGGGCATCCTGCTCTGTTAGTGTAGATTCAGTATGGCAAGGCCTGAAGCTGAACTTCAGCACCCTCAGAGTGTCCATTGTGTCAAATACTCTGACATCAACACAGTTGTTATTTTGACATAGCACCCTGGTGGTACTTACCACTGACCCAAAAGACTTTACCTCATGCCAAGCATAGTTCAAGGACTTTGTTAGGAGCCCATTCTGTTCTTTACATCTCTTCTGCTCTGTATTTGTTGGAGAAAATGTTCAAGCCCCTCAATGACTCTCCAGATTTCATAGTTAAAAAGGGTGGGGATGTTTGGGCTAATGAGATTTCAGTTTAAACTGGGAATGAAAGGAAAATGTATTTCTTTACCCGTGATGCATATTATTATGTATTTCTTTCCAGGTGAGTGGCAGACTGATAATCCATGTAGATGAACTGGCCCACATGTGGAAGGTGCTGAATCTCCCAACAGACTTATTTGAGAGTGTTATGAATGTTGGTCGTTTTACCGAAGAAATTGAATGGCTTAAGTTTTTAGCCCTTGCATGTAGCTCTCTTGGAGTTGTAAGTTTATCTACACTTTTTCCATTCACGTTTTTATATTCTTTACATAGCTGATCTTGATTTAGTGTTGCGATTGGAGGTTGAGCAATTGGCTATTTTACCCATGTCATGGACCAAACACACCTCCTGGCTTTGAGTTCAGCACACACCGTTCCTTATGGGATGAGGGAGTTATTTTGACAATCTGCCCTCAGAGGTCAAGGAACCAGAGCATTTATAGAAGGCTCTGCAAGAGAGTATTGCTCCTCCAACTGATCAATGTCATCGTAGGCTTTTATAACAGGATTTATTTTCTCTACCACTAATATAGTGGTACCTGGATCATCTTTCACAACTTCATTATAACAGGTCACATTGTTTTGCAGATGATTTGCAACAATAGGGGAAGACAGCTAGAGGCACAGCGGCAGAGTTATAGACTTTATCTGATTGTATCAAAGATTTTTCTAGACACGTATGCCATAACTATGAGGGAAGGCAAAAAGAGGTTGTCTCCACCATAGCATCCACAATATTTTAGTCAATAGATTTGCTTTGGTTTATTCTGGCTCTCTGCACTGTGAGTCTAAATTCCTCCCAGTATGAGGAAATGTATAGTTCTTTTAAGAGAAAAATTATGCACATTTGGACCAAATTCTCTGCTTCCATGGAGGAAGAACATCTTGTCACTCCACATAAATTTCACCTGTTGGTGCTGACTGAGATTCTAGAAGTGTTGGAGGGAACTTGGTGCCACATCCTATGTTCTAGATTCACATCTTTCCTATCTGGTGAAGACCAGAGGGGAGATATTAGGTCAAATGCTGATGGAGATTAGCAATCCCTGCCTTAAGGAGGTCAAGCTGCCACCTTCTCTCATGGCCTCAAGAAGCCATCATTTAATTTTGACAATCTAGTTGACTGCCATCTTGTATCTAGTCTTCCTTTTGTGCTTAAGACTATTCAAAATGTTGTGGGAACTATCATAGTATCTAGATACTTCAGATTTCTATGATTCTTGTTAGCTTGGATACTGTCACTTTCTTCAGCAAGGAAACTACATTGACTGATGATTTTCTCTAGTGATGGATGAAAATCAAGTAACTATGCTGATATCATTAGATCTATCAGCTGTTTTCTATATTGTAGATCACACGGTGTTATTGACTCACCTGTAGGTCCCAGGGAGTGTAGACAGGGTTCTTCTTTTTTCTCAGTGAGATTCCCATGGTGTAGTGTCAGGCAATCACTCATATTCCCTGAGGGTGCTTTTATGTGGGATACTGCAAAGCTCCATTTTGTTCCTACACCTATTAAAGTTTTAGGAGGCCATTAGGAAGGTTAGCAGGAAGCCATTGGTTATGGGGCCTTCAATATGGAATCATAGAATATCAGGGTTGGAAGGGACCTCAGGAGGTCATCTAGTCCAACCCCCTGCTCAATGCAGGCCCAATCCCAGACAGATTTTTGCCCCAGATCCCTAAATGGCCCCCTGAAGGATTGTATTCACAACCCTGGGTTTAGCAGGCCAATGCTCATATGCTGATTTCCCCAGCTTTATGGTGCAGTTGAAAGCCTTAACTTGGCTGAGATTGGAGCATGGATGTGAGCGAGTTGGCTGAGTCTCAATCCAAAGAAAATAGATGTGATGTTGGTGAGTTTGGCATGAAACTGGAAGATATGGTGATGTTTATATCTGCCCCTGTGACTGAGTGTTTGTCCACCATTTTTCACCCAATTTCAAAATTTGGAAGTCTAGCTAGATTCCCAGCTATAGCTGGATAATTAGGTATCAACAGCAGCCAGGGTAGTTGTCTTTCATTTGTGACTGGCCAGAAAGTTGTAACCCCTTCTCTCTAATTCAGAACTCACTTCCATGACTAATGATTTTGCCACCCCAAGATTAGATTTGATTACTGTAACATGCTCTACATGGGACTGTGTATTCAATACATTTTAATTAAGCTGGTGCTGAATGAGGCAGCCTGCTTGTTAAGTGGGGTATTTCACTGCAAGCACATTGCAGTAGTACTTTGTCATCTGCACTGGTTGCATGGGGATTTCAGAGTGGCGTTTAAGGTGATCGTTTTGATCTATAAAACCCTACATGTCCTGGGACCTGCCTACTTGAGAGACCATCTGTCTCCCCCTACAATACTGCCACAGTTGACCTTAATGGAGGTGATCTGTTTGGTCTGTAACCCTCCTGGTTAAGAAGTGTTAGGAAGTGTTCCCCATGAGAGCCCCTTGACTTTGGAATTCATTTTCCTGCTGTGTCTGAAATAGCCCGATTCTGTTGTCCTTCAGTGTATGCTCCAAAACTCATCATTTTAATGAGGCTTTAGGATAAGGGTTAATTCATGCAGGTTGATATCATGGTGTGGAAGGGGTTTCTTTAATGTCTTTGCTGTAATAGTTTAGATTCTTGTGTTTGTTATATGATGGGGTTTCCTGCTGGATTTGTTATGATGTGCATTTTGGGAAAATGTCAGGGGCTCTTAGGACCTAGGATAGGTGCCCTTTTAGATTCTTATAATTTGAAAGAGGCATTAATAAGTGTACATTTTTATTAACATTTATATTCTCAACATAGCTGCAATGGCTTAATGGGGTAGCGGAACATGTTGTGCTCTGTAACCAAGTGGTTGCATGTTCAAATCCTATCTGATCTATTGCAGAGGAGGTGAATGTATTCTCTAAGGCAAGCTTTTTAAAAAAACATTGAGGGTAGTTAGCCATTGGAACAATATATCTAGGCATGTGGTGGATTCTCCATCACTTGCAATCTTTAACTCAAGATTAGATACATTTCTAAAAGATATGCTATAGCTCAAACAGAAGTTATGGACTTGAAGCAGAAGTTCTAGGATGATCTTCTATGGCTTATAGTTAGCAGGTCAGACTAGATTATCATAATGGTCCCTCGTGGCTTTAAAATGTATTAATCTGCTCCTGAAACAATAAATATAACTCATTTTAAACACTGTGTTAACTAAACCTTTACAAGTTTTACATCAGTGGTGCTTTTGTTCAATATGATCAGTCAGTATCACTAGCAACATTTGCTTCATAGTAAATCTTGAAAATCATTCCATTTAGAGATAATTGTATTTAGAAATCCTATTTTCTGTATTTCACTTCTCTTTTGTTTCATTAGGGACATTTGTATGAAAATGGGATATTTGTGCTTAGGCATTCATCTCTTCCTTCAGTTTATTCCTCAATTCAAGTCATAATATTCTAATTTTGACAGACTTAGGGTTTGTGCAGATAATTTTGATGTCACAGAAAATTTTGACTTCAGGTGAGCAACAAACAGTTGGAGTCAATGAAGTCCTAGACAATAAAGCTCCTGTTTTTATGCAAATGCCCCTACTAGTGAGAAACATTCACATCAGCAGAATTGTCTCTAAGTAAAAAGTTTTCCATGAGGTGCCAGTGATACTTCCATGAATCCAATTAACAAAATACATGTGCATTAGTTTATTTCAAAGAAATAATGAGGGACCCTTTGTCAGTCTTAGAATAAGCATAGGGCTGGTCATTGTACAATCAGTTGGCTCCATCTTGTGGGATTCAGGAGTCTTGCAACCTTCTGTGCAATGTATAATATTAATCCACTAACTGTGGGGGGGGGGGAGGAGAGGAAACTATATTGCTAAAACTGTCAGCAGTGCATAAAGTTCAAAACATTGTGGCCCTTAATGATGCTGTCCTACAAATTAGATAATTCTATAAGATTAATGATCCCTAAACTGCTTCATATAGTCCTAGTGAACACTCCTGCTAGCATCAGTGGGAACTAAAGGTGGCATTTTATTGACTTTAATGAGATCAGAATTAGGCCACACTTTTAGAAAAAAACTCTAGTTGCATATTAGAATATCAGGATCAACCATTTGTATGCTTCCATATTCAACAAAAGGCTTTAACTGATAATCCTTCTTTATAGGATAATGATTGCGCCCATTTACTGCCTCCTGAGCACCCCCTCATGACTAGGGTTGCCTCTTTGGCCAGTCCACCTCTATTTTCCCCTTCATCTGGACCCTGTAAGAACTCAGTCTCCAGTAACCGTCTAAGCTCAAACTCTAATTCACTCTCCTGCAGTTCTCCTCAGGTTGGCACTAGAGTTTGTCAAATACAGAACTCAAAAGTCCAAAACCAAACAACGTGTGTCAGTTCAACTTCCCTTCTTAAACGCCCACTCACAGGCTTTATCTGGCTAGTGCTCTACAGGAACTAAACTTGTTCTTCATAGCTGCTCTTTCCGCCTTCTCCACATAAACTCCTCTTTTCTGAATACTGCCAGACCTCCTGGCCAGGGCCGGCTCCAGGCACCAGACGAGGAAGCACATGCTTGGGGTGGCACATTCTAAGGGGCGGCATTCCGGCCATTCTTTGGGCGGCACAATCTGGCCTCCCCCCCCCCTTTTTTTTTTGGCGCACTTAGGGCAGCAAAAAAGCTAGAGCCAGCCCTGCTCCTGGCTCTAGCAATCTCAGCTACTCTCTCTCTTAGCCACACCCCTCCCTGCAGCTTCCTGTTGCCCTTTATATTTGAATCACCAGATTCCTCACAGGTGGGGCTCATCTTGTAAGCAGGCTAGCTTAGCCCCAAGCACTCCAGACCATGGGCAAGCCATCCTGTTACAATAATATATCAGGGCCCTCAACATTTAAGGTTCACAACCATCCCAGCGTCACCAGAGCTCTCTTGATCTCAAGGATGCTTCACATCCCTTCATGATTACGGTTAATATTTTTACAGCATTCAAAAAGTGAGTTAGGTGCTTTTCAGAAATACTTATTAAAAGTCAAGATTCCTGGCCAGGAGAGCTTGAAATATAGTTTTATATATATCAGACCTTTACATTCAAGGTGAGTTTTTACAAATGATGAATTCTAGAAGGTTATGGTTAGTGTCTGGCACACAATGGAAAACACTGGTGCATCAAATTAAGTCCATCATCCGTTATACAACTGAACCTCTCTTCATCAGAAGTTTAGGTGCACACAGAATGCAGGGTGGGACTCCCCAATGTGCAAGGCAGTCACTGTAAAAACAGTACCAACCAACCAGGCATGCTTTACACTGTATGAATGGCGTGATCTAATATCTATTGTGAGAGAGAATCCACTACAATCCTCAGTAAGTTATTCCAATTTTTAGTTTCCATCACTGTAAAATCTGCACTTTATTTCTAGTCTGAATTTGTCTAGCTTCAACTTCCAGCCATTGGATCCGGATATACCTTTGTCTCCTAAATCGAAGAGTCCTCTATTATCAGATTTCTGTTCTCCATGTAGGTACTCATAGGCTGTGATCAAGTCAACCCTCAACCTTCTCTTTGTTAAGCTAAATAGATTGATCTCCTTGAATCTTTTTCTAAAAGACATGTTTTCCAGTCCTTTAATTATTCTCATGGGTCTTCTCTGAAACCTTTCCAATTTTTCCATCATCCTTCCTGAAGTGTGGGCACCAGGGCCAAACACAGAAGTAAGGCAATCTCCTTATCCCTGTTTATACACCCAAGAATCATTTGCCCTTTTAGGCACAATATCACGCTTGGAACTCATGTTCAGCTAAATGTCCACCCTGACCCCCAAAACTTTGTCAGAGTCACTGCTTCCCAGGATACAGTCCTCCCCCCCCCATCCTGTAAACATTTGGTCACATTGAAACACATTGTTTGCTGGCACCCAGCTTACCAAGTGATCCAGATAACCCTGTGTCAATGAACTATCCTCTTCATTATTTACCACTCCCCAATCTTTGTCATCTGCAAACTTTATCAGTAATTATTTTGTTTTCTTCCAAGTTATTGATAAAACTGCTAAATAGCATAGCATCAAGAACCAATCTCTGCAGGACTCCTGTAGAAACACACCAGCTTAATGATGATCCCCTGTTTACAATTACATTTTGAAACCTATCACTTTGTTAGTTTTTAATCCATTTAATGCATACCATTGTTGATTTTGTATTCTTCTAGTTTCTTAATTAAAATGTCATGCAGTACCAAGTCAAGCACCTTACAGAAGTCTAAGTATATCACATCAATACTCTTACCTTTATCAACCAAGCTTGTACTCTAAAAAAAAAAAAATAGATTAGTCTGACAGGTCTATTTTCCATAACACCATCATATTCTTTAACCCCTTGTAAATTGAGTCCTATATCAGCCATTCCATTATTTTGCCAGAGATCAATATCAGGCTGACAGGCCTATAATTAACTGGATCATCCCATTTGCTTGTTTAAATATTGGCACAACATTAGCTTTCTTCCAGTGCTCTGGAACTTTCCCACTGTTCCAAGACTTATTGAAAATCAACAGTAATGGTCCAATGAGCTCCTTGGACAACTTTTTAAATCAGCAGGCCCAGCTAACTTGCATCCAGGAGTTTTAAAAAATATTTCACTTTAATAGTTGCTATTTAACATCCTCCTTAGTTACTGTTGGAATGGAAAGTATTTAATTGTCCTATGATATGAATACATCATTTTTTTCCTCCCCAAACACAGAACAGAAATATTTATTAAACACTTCTGCCTTTTCTGCATTATTATTGGCAATTCTACTATTCCCATGTAATAATGCACCAGTACTGTTTTTAGGATTCCTTTTCTTCCTAATATACTTAAACTCCTTCTTGTCCATAACTTTGCTGGCCATAGATTTTGCCTTGTGTCCTTTTGCTTCCCTTATCAATTTATTTAAACTCCTAGCTTCCAATTTATATTCACTGCTATTAGTCTCCTCTTTATCTCATTTGTTATATATTTTTATAGCTGCTGTCACTTCCTCTCTAAACCAGGCAGGTTTTTTAACCACCATAACCTTCCTCCTCACTTGTGGCTTTTTGTACATCTAGTAAAATCTTCTTGAACAGTTTCAAGTTATCATACACAATTTTAGTTTAAACTCTTTCTCCCAACTGATTTGTCTCTTAATTGTTTTCAGTTTTGTGAAATTGGTTCTTGTAAAAATAATAAGTACATATATTATTGGTTTGGAAGTTATTGTGCTTACACATAACAAATATAGCCAAGTCATGATCGCTTACACCTAAGCATCCTCTGATTTTTATGTCTGTGATCAATTCCTCTTCATCTGTCAAGAGGTGGTCTAATATAAATTGCCCCATGTTGGATGCAACAATTTTTGAGTTAGGAAATGGCCATCTATAATTTTTATAAATTCCAAGGATATTTTAGTACTGGTGGCATGAGACCTCCAGCATGTGTCACTCAGATTGAAGTCTTTCATGATTATGCAGCTTTTTTCCTGTCTTATAGATAATTGCCTAAAGAGCTGGTCATCCTGTTTTCTAGTGTGATTTGGTGGCTTGCAGCTCTGCTTCTATTGTTCCTAGTTCCTTCCTTTTGTTAGTTTGTTTCCTGTACTTTCCTAAGCAAAAGAATTTTGTTTCACCTTAGCTGATGACAGCACTCATAAAAAGGTTAGGTCTCAGCTCCCCAGAGTATACCATCCTAAGCAACTCTTAGTTCTTCTTGTTATTTACACATTTCAGATCTTGTAGACAGTTTTTATTTGTTGTACCAGTCTGTCATCTGATATTGTAAACTTTTTGCCACAGAAACCATCCTTTTGTTATGTTTATATACTACCCACCTGTAATGGGGTCACACTCACCTCTCGCAAGTGCCCTCTGGCCCAGTGCATATGCTTACATTCTCTCTCTCTTTGTGGTGGGTCTTCGGTGACTCAGCCCTCTGGCCAAGTTACACACAGTCTGTGTGATAAAAGACAAGCATAACCCCTTCTGGGGTACAAGCCCAACAGGGATCTCTCTCAGTGCCCTCTGTAATGTCTCCCACCAGTTGTCCATGCTCCAGGATAGAGTAGTGCCCCAGGGCTCCCTCCCTGGCGACATTTTCACCCTCTTAGGGCCTTTCCGTCCACAACTCTCCAGCTGGGCTGTTGTAGTTCATTTCCCCCCTCTGGGGTGCCTCAGTGTCCAGGCCACTTTCCCTGGTGGTTAATGGGGATGGGAAGGACCCAGGCCCATCCACTACTCCAGGTCTCAACCCAGGGACCCTGTAGATAGCAACTGTCCACTGTGTCCCTTTATCTAAGTCCCACTGCTGTTCTAATTCCCGAGGCCACTTCCTCGCAGTCCTGTGCCATCTTCACTCTTACCTCAGGCCCTTGTCCTGATGGAGTCCCCACAACCCACTCAGGGCTCCTTCTCACTCTCCCCAGCTTCTGGCAGCACTACCTCATCCAAGGTACTGCAGATCCCTCAGCCAGCCACACACCATCCACTCTCCTTCAGCTCTAGCAAGGAACTGCCCCTACTCTGTCCCTGCAGCTCTTTTTATACTAGTCTGCTGGGCCCTGATTGGCTGCTTCCCACACAGCTGCTCTAGGCAGCTTGGAGGATGGCTCTACTGCCCTTTTCTGGGGTGGGTGTGGCAGGGCCAAAAGGCCGCCAGCAGGGGGCCTCAGGGCCTAGTCCACCCAATCACATCGCTCAATGGTGTTGAGATCTCAACAACACCACAACAAATAATTATAATAATATATTTCATTACTCATAACGTACCCAGCTTTTACATAATTTCTTCTTTGAGTCTTTTCTTATAAATTAATTCCTCCAACCCTTAAATAATTTTTGTTGCTATTCTCTGAATTCCCTCCAATTTTTCAACCTCTTTCTGGTATTGAGAAGTATACAGTGTTGCAGGCGCAATCCCACCTGAATCATAAACTGCACAGTAGAATTGTTATTCCTGTAGTCTATGACATGATTTCTCTACATATGAAAACCACATTCACAGTGGAGTATTTTGTGACACTATATCCATTGCTGTTCACCATCACCACTTTGTCATTACTGTGCTCTAGATTTGTCCTTCCCATTGAATAGCTGAGTTCCCACCTCACAAAATATATTAGTTTGCATTTTTCCGGGATGAATTTTATTTTATTATTTCCCTACTGATAACTTTTCAGGTCCCTTTATATTAGTTGACTTTAATGGGAATTTTGCTTGAGTCCGGATTATAGAATTAGATCTTGTTTGCAATACCTCCCACGTTCGCACTAGACTTTGACATGCATAATAAATGCTCCCACACAGGGGAGTAAGAGGGCGTTTGAAAACCTCTTACACCCCCTTAACTGGTTAACCAGATCTTAAATTGAAGTGCACGGGTGCATAATCTATGCCCATTTACTCTTCCATAGGGCAGGTTTGGATGGAGGGGCTGGTAATTGGCAAAGCCTTAACTCCATTCCCTAATGCACCAGCCAGCACAGAGAGTGTCAAAATTTGCTGCTGGTATAGGCCAAAAGAAAAGTGCTGCCCAGCGAGAGTAATGAGAAAAAAGAGAGGGAAAGGCTCAATGCCTCTTAGAGCTATTCCTGAAATGCAACTGCTCAATAATCAGCCCTCACACAAGCCTGGGCCTAAAGACAGAATCTAGCCCTCAGTATCACCTGCAAAATAAATGTACTATTTATAATATGAATAATGTCACATTTCTAATAGTACTATTCATCAAACAACCTCCAAGTACTTATCTCATCTTCCAGACCATTAATAAAGGTGTTAAATAAAATAAAGCCTTAATCCAGCTCCTGGAGATCCCAGCAGACCTCTCCTTTTATTCATTACATTGCCATTTATCATTCAATCCTTTATTTATGGCTTTTGAGACAGATTTTTTGTCTATATGACAGTGTTTCTCTCCATACCAAGAAAAGTAGGCCTCTAGTCTCTTCATTGATAGTGCCAAAAGTGAGGCTCACTTATTTTATTCTCTTTTCCCAATAGACTATTGCAAAAACACTGAAGATTATATGTGAGGTTTTATCCAGCGATTATGACAGTGGACCCCCACGTATTCCTTTTAGCACTTTCCAGTTTCTCTACACATACATTGCTGAAGTGGACGGGGAGATTTCAGCATCTCATGTCAGCCGAATGCTGAATTACATTGAACAGGAGGTGTAAGTACATCTCTGTCAAATGTCAACCATAGTTAAAGGTTCCTTCATTAGAGGCATGTATTTATGCTGTAGCTATTAAACTGCAGGAAGGATGGAGGAACAAACGAGGAAGGGAGACAGTAGAAAAGAGAGGCAGAAGGTAGAGAGAGCAAAACAGACTAGGAAGAAGTGAAAATAGTAGCAGTCATAGGGAAAGAATTGTTAAAATAAGGGAGTGAAAGGTAATTATGAGGGAGCAATAAAGGCCAATAATAATGGGGGAGGAAGAGACAAGAAAAAGGAGGAATCATTATTATTCATTGTATAGCACCAAAAGGTGTGCTAAATGCTTCAAAGGAGACAAAGAAAGATGTCCTGGCACCAAATTCTTTCAGTCCAAAGAAAAGCACAGAGTTCAAGTGGCAGAGTCCTAAGGATTATTACCATTTATTATTTATATAGCACTAGACAAGTAACAAGCTCCTGCCCCAGACAGCTTACACTCTAAGGGGCAGATCCTCAGCTAGAAAAAACGGCATAGCTCCACTGATTTCAAAGAAGTTTTGACAATTTATACCAGGTGAGACTCTGCCCCTAAAGTTACAACAGTGCAATATAGCTCAATAGAATAAAACAAATATGCCCAGAATGCTGAATGGTCATTATAGTAAATGGTATAACAATATGACAATATAGAGTAAATGCTTCATGTTTTGTTATGTGTATTTTGAAAAAGGGAGGCATCTTGATGTAAATAAATTAAAAACTTGTTCCAAGTGTACAGGATGCTATGGGAAAATTATGATCTGGGATGGATGAAAGAGACAAAGGGTTCAATCCAACTCCAACTAAGGTCAATGCAAATGTTTCCATTGACTTCAACTACAGAAGGAGGAGGGCCAAAGAGCACAGTTTGGAGAGAAGAGAAGTTTGACTACAGCACAGGGAGCAGAGATTGGGTGGAAGAGGGGAAGTTTATAATTAGTATTATGTTTTCTGTTACCTCTATAATGAAAATGCAGGTCTCAATGAATTTAATATATATTTCATTTTTTATGCAGCATTGGACCTGATGGCTTAATCAAGGTGAATGATTTTACCCAGAATCCACGGGTCAGACTGGAATAGTGGCACAGCTTATCAAATACTTTGATAGGAAGATGAAGAAACGTGCTTCAAAATAATGGTTACTATTAGGCCTTTCATTGTCTTTTTTCTTGTGTCTATCAATAAACAATTTGGCCAAGAAGTCAATCAGAAATGTGTGAGTGTGGATTAAGAGAATGTCAGTGCAATAGAACATTGTCACAGGTTAATTATTAGAGCTGGTCAATTTTGCATTTTATTTATTTATTTATTGTGCTGAAAGTTTTCCCTTTGAAAAATACAGTTTTGTTGAAACAAATTTTTCATCGGAATATGTCAATTACAACAAAAACATTTTGCAGAAAATTTCTAAACAAAAATTCTCATTTTGAATTGATGTTTTCAGATGAAAAAATGTTCATTTTGTTTCCATTTAAAATGCCTTTTGGTTTCAGTTTTCAGTTTTAAAAAAAACATACATAACATCTTAATCAAATTAATTCAAAACTTCCCATTGGAAAACCGAAATGTTTTTGACCAAAAATTGAAAGATTTTCATTCAAAATTTCTTGCAGGAAAAAATTCCAGTTTTCCAACCAATGATTGGAAACTAATGATTTTCTGCTGCCAAGTAAAACCACTAAGAACCTTATGGAAAATTATCTTGTATGGTGTTATACTATATCTTATCTAATGTCAGTGCTCCTGACAGAGAGCTAGATCACGCCTGAAAGAGGTGAAGCAGTACCACCACAGTGCAAGCACCAGGCAACATTCTGTCTTTCCTGCACTCCCCAGAAACCCACCCACTATTACACCCTTTGTGGATACAGCTTACTCCATCCAGTGAGATTGGCCCTGCTCCATGGAGTGGGGCCAAAGTGGAGGACAGTGACAAGCTCTACCTCTTCGCCATAACTACTCATCATCTTTAGGGTATTGTGTGCTCCTGACGGACTAAAGAGACCAATCCTTGAGCTCCGCATATAGGAGGGACAGTAATTTTGTGAGGCGTGAGGAAGGCTTCTTCTGTCCTAGCCCTTTTGTGCAAAATGACCACAGAATCTGTCTCTATGTGTCTGATTCTGCTCCTTAAGTTAATTGAAGTTTTGCCATTGGAGCAGGAGCAGGGCCTAAACTATTATTGACCTTCTGTATCCAAACTGACTTACGGAATAAAACTATTGTATATTCAGAAAGCGGCTTAGATACTGAAGTGCAGCTTATTTAAAGGTCTTTTAAAAGTTGGTTTGACTGCTTGAGTGTTTTATTTGTGTTAATTTTATCACTAAAGAACGGTCAGCTACCCACATACTATCTTGGCTAGGATATTCAATATAAAGTATTTTAATTTAAACTGGAAATATACATATATTTTTATTTTAGTACCACCCGCCTTTAAGGTCTCATGCTCCAGCCTAAATCCTTCTGGCCAAAGAGGACTGGACTGGGCCTTCTTATGTCTTTCAATATTATCCCTTATTTGGTCATAGAGGACACTGTTGAGTAAGAAAGAGGCACTTTTCCCCCCCCCCCAGGAGTGATTATACTGGCTTTATAGTACTCAGTTTCTGCCAACTTTGGGGAACAAGAAATTACAGTTGAGGCTCATAGTTTGACTTGATCTTCTTTCTGGAGATGAGTTAGAACATCCAGCAAAGACTGGACCAAATATAAGCAAACATTTGTTATCAGTTATGAACATGGGAGGTAACGATATATTACTTTATTATTTATAAAGTCTCATGATTTTAGGGGTCTGTTTCATGATTTTTGATCACTTGTGGTTGGCAATACTGTAACCTCTAGTCACATCACCTCTTTCTATTCTCCTCACTCACTTTCAATTTTAAAAAGAAATCTATTTGCATGTGTCTCTTCTGCTAATATGCATTGTAGAATACATCTCTGAAAATCATTCCAAATGAAGGGTGGGAGGAGGAGGCTGTTGTTTGTTTTTAAATCATTTAGATTAGTTCTTTCTTAATTATTCAAGCCTCTGCATTCATGGCCATCAACTATCAGGTTGGTGGAAGCTCACCCTCACCTTGAGTAGTAGTTTGGTGACTTAAAGCATCTCAGAGAAAATAGTTGCCCCATAAGGTACTTGACATTAGTTTGATAATTGCCCATCATCTTCTGTGAACCTTCTCATCTTGTTCTTTGACCCAGCTTTTTTTTCCTTTACCGCCTATGATTGGCAAGGTGTTAACGGGCCCTTGAATGGTCCCTTGAAATATATGTTAAGTACTTAAGGTAAACAATCTACTCCACCCTGTATTTTTCTGTGACACTCTGAGTACATTTCCCAGACCTGAAGAAGAGCTCTGTGTAAGCTTGACAGCTTGTCTTTCTCACCAATAGAAGTTGGTCCAATACAAGATATTACTTCACCCACCTTGTCTCTCTCTCATATTCTATTTGTGATCCGCTATAATCCCCAAATCCTTTTCAGATTATTTCCCATTTTGTAACTGTGCATTTGATTTTTCCTTCCTATGTGAAGTACTTTGTACTTATCTTTAATGAATTGCATCTTGTTGATTTCAAAGCAATTCTCCAATTTGTCAAGGTCATTTTGAATTCAAATTCTGTCCTCCAGTGCTTGCAACCGCTCCCAGCTTGGTGTCATCTGCAAATTTTATAAGCATACTCTCCACTCCATTATACAAGTTATTAATTAAAATACTGAATAGTATTGGAGCTAGGACTGACCCCTGGGGGATCTTACTAAATACACCCTCCCAGTTTGACAGTAAACCATTGATAACTATTCTTTGAGTAAGATCTTTCAGTCAATTGTGCACCCAACATACAGTAATTTCATGTAGACCACATTTCCCCAGTTTGCCTATGAGACTGCTGCATGGGACTGTGTCAAAAGCCTTACTAAAATCAAGGCATATCACATCTCCTGCATCCCCCACATCCACTAGGCCAGTAACTCTGTCCAGGAAGGAAATTTTGCGGTTTGGCATGATTTGTTCTTGACAAATCCATGCTGACTATTCCTTATAACTCCATTATCCTCTGTGTGCTTACAAATTGATTGTTTAATAACTTGTTCTAGTGTCTTTTCAGATATTGAAGTTAGACTGACTGGTCTATAATTTCCCAGATCCCCTTTGTTCCCCCTTTTTAAGAGAGGTATTATGTTTCCAGTTCTCCACTCCTCTGAGACCTCACCCATCCTCCATGAGTTCTCAAAGATAATTGCTAATGGTTCTGAGATTGCTTCAGCTGGTTCCTTAATTATCCTGAAGTCCTGATGCTACTGTGAAGCTCACTTTCTATTTTTTTCTATATACCACGTTTATCACCATTGTAGCCGAGTGCCTTCCAGTAGTGAATTAAGCAATGTGACTGCACATCTTTCATGTGTTGTTTGTTCTCTCATCTTCTCCCCATGGTAAGAAGCGTATGCAGTGAAGTGTCTTGTTTTGATAGAGTTTTAGAATATTTTTTAAAATATACATGTTTCTATGCATTTATATTAGAAAAGTCAAGGTCAAATAAATGCATCTTTCACTTGGAGAAGAAGGTGGTGAGGTTTGTGACGGTCCTTAGTTCCTGAGAGAATTTGTTTCACAGTCCCAGACCTGCACAGCTGTTTTGTCTGGTAGAAGCAACTGTTACACTGTCCCATTAACAGCTTTGAATGGACCACAGAAATGGCACGAATATGTATTTGTCTTACTATAATTTCATTTTCCTGAGCAGGGCAGCATATCAATTGTAAAACCATCAGTGCCAGACCTACCTTACAAGGCCATCAATGCCATTCCCTAAAAGGATCCTCCCTTACCTGCATATAGGATCTCCTACTAGGGCAATGCCCCTCTCTTCCCTTTTCCACTCCCTGCTACTGTTTTAAATGTATCTACTGATCTTTCAATTTTGGTAAAAATATTTGGTTGCAATTTCACTGTAACCTCTATTCCACTAGGTGGCATTTGTTGTCTACATAAGGAGGCTGTGTCTTTCAGTTTATGGTATTGCCCAAGTAAATCATCTATTCAGTGGCAATAAAATCTGATGTCATCAGTTATTGATATTTATTGCACAGTCCTTCCATCTCTCATGAAAATACATACACATTGGGTAACATCCTGACTAACCTAATAGTCATGCCGGACTAAACGAATTGCCTTCTATGAGGAGATAACTGGGTCTGTGGATGAGGGGAAAGCAGTGAATGTGTTATTCCTTGACTTTAGCAAAGCTTTTGATACGGTCTCCCACAGTATTCTTGCCGGCAAGTTAAAGAAGTATGGGCTGGATGAATGGACTATAAGGTGGATAGAAAGCTGGCTAGATTGTCGGGCTCAACGGGTAGTGATCAACGGCTCCATGTCTAGTTGGCAGCCGGTTTCAAGCGGAGTGCCCCAAGGGTCGGTCCTGGGGCCAGTTTCGTTCAATATCTTCATTAATGATCTGGAGGATGGCGTGGACTGCACTCTCAGCAAGTTTGCAGATGACACTAAACTGGGAGGAGTGGTAGATACGCTGGAGGGTAGGGATAGGATACAGAGGGACCTAGACAAATTAGAGGATTGGGCCAAAAGAAACCAGATGAGGTTCAATAAGGACAAGTGCAGAGTCCTGCACTTAGGACGGAAGAATCCCATTCACTGTTACAGACTAGGGACCGAGTGGCTAGGCAGCAGTTCTGCAGAAAAGGACCTAGGGGTTACAGTGGACGAGAAGCTGGATATGAGTCAACAGTGTGCCCTTGTTGCCAAGAAGGCTAACGGCATTTTGGGCTGTATAAGTAGGGGCATTGCCAGCAGATCGAGGGACGTGATCATTCCCCTCTATTCGACATTGGTGAGGCCTCACCTGGAGTACTGTGTCCAGTTTTGGGCCCCACACTACAAGAAGGATGTGGAAAAATTGGAAAGAGTCCAGCGGAGGGCAACAAAAATGATTAGGGGGCTGGAGCACATGAGTTATGAGGAGAGGCTGAGGGAACTGGGATTGTTTAGTCTGCAGAAGAGAAGAATGAGGGGGGATTTGATAGCTGCTTTCAACTACCTGAAAGG